AGTCCAACCCCACTCGGCATCTCTTAAAGTCCAATCCTTTATTGGCAACTACCAAAGTCCACCCTTGTTAGCACCCTCATAAAACCAATCTCCTGCTTGCATTCACATATGTATCATATAATTGACATGTGTCATACGCATACATAGCACGATCATTTCCTCTTTCAACCCCCAAGTTGATATGTCTTTATTTTCTCAACCCCCGAGTCGATATTTGCCTTTTCCTCCTTCAACCCCCGCGTTGATATTTTGTTTTTTACCGACCCCCGAGTCGATATGTCTTGTTTTTTCTCAACCCCCGAGTTATGTCTTTATTTTCTCGACCCCGAGTCGATATTTGCCTTTCTCCAACCCCCGCGTTGATATTTTGTTTTTCTCGACCCCTGAGTCGATATTGTCTTGTTTTCTCGACCCCCGAGTCGATATTGTCTTGTTTTTCTCGACCCCTGAGTCGATATTGTCTTGTTTTCCTCGACTCCCGAGTCGATATTTACCTTTCTTCAACCCCCGAGTTGATATGTCTTTATTTTCTCGACCCCTGAGTCGATATTTGCTTTACCCTTTTTCAACCCCCGAGTTGACTTGTTGTTCTAATTTATCCTCGACCTCCGAGTCGATAGTATATTTGTTTTTCTCAACCCCCGAGTTGATAAGCCAATATACCCCGTAAATCTTTTCACCCTGCTGCACATAATCCCAATAATCCCTCATGGGAAACCAGAAATAAAGCCTTACCAAAATTCCCATTATCCGGTTGCATTCTCATACGCATTGCATTTTGATCATTTGCATACGCATCTTACATTTCTTAGTAGTTGCATTTTTAGTTGCATGTATGTGCATCATAATGCATAGAATCACTGTCCTCAGCGACATAACATAACAGCATAGCAGGATACAGGATCAGCTCGCAAGCATCTTAGTTAGCCCTTCATCAAAGCCGACAGTATTTCTTTGAACAAAGTTGATACCCCGCACGTGCTTGTGAAATTTTTATTCCCGAGCAAGTCATTCTTTAACCATGCAGTTGATAATGATAATCCCCAACAGTTGTTACTCTGATCTCTCCCCAATCAGAGTTTATTTTAAGAGTTTCTTATGATCTTTTCCCCTGCTGTTATTTCTATATCCTCTTGCATTTGCACTTTTTTTTCCGTGTCGGACAAATTTCGGGGTCTTCTTGTATCTAATTGACTTCCACCCTGAAAATGAACGTCATGCAACTGTTCATTCTCTCAGGTTCAAGGCAATTAGATAAGGGCATCTGTCATACCCCAAATTTGTCCTACCTATTGCAAAATTTTCATTTGCCGGACTTTATTTTTCAATTTACCTCACTTGTACAGCGTAGCGTATTTTTCAGTAAAAAGAAACTTTTTCGTCTTTTTTAACCCAATGAATTTGTGACACGTGACATTTTTGTATTTATCATTATTTTGGTTTTATCATTTTATTTTTAGATAATGTTAATATAATTAGAATAGAATTAAAGAATTTAATTTTTTAAAGAAATTTGATTAGATTTTAAATAGGAATAGATTTAGAAATTAGAATATTAATTAGATTAGAATTATTTAATTAAAATGGAATTAGAGTAAGATTAGTTAACTAGTTAGAATTAGAACTAATTAATAAATTAGAATTAATTGGTAGTTAATTAAACAGAAAATTAATAAAAAGAAAGAAAAATAAAAAATTGGAAAAAGCAAGACACTGTGGAGATATTTTGGGCGTTTAGGATTGTGGAAATTGAGTATAAAATGGGAAGGTTACTGTTTATTTTTCCATAAGGACAAAACCCTAAAACATTTCAATCCCTAACCAGCCGCTGCGAGCTAAACCTTCCTCTCTTCTCTACAAACCGCCGCCACACCCTATGTTCATTCCCTTCTCCATCCAAACAAACGACAACAGTAAATCACGCCTATTTCATTACAATTGTTGCGGCTTAGCAAAACTTTCTATTCGAGACAAAAGGCTCAACCACCTTCGGTTTAATACGCACGACAGCATTTCCCAGCGACAAGGACTCGACATCTCGTTACTTTCTGAGGTTAGAATCATGTTGTGAACTATATACTGCTATTATAACTTCCAAATCCTACAATTGGTTTCTGTTTAAATTATAGCATTTTTGATTTAATTGTTATTACGCCTGTGCTGGATTTGAGGTTGTAGTTAATTGTATGTTGTTGCGTGTTCTCAAGCTTGCATATATTCTATAATCATGCTTAACTCTCGATTTTGGTTATGTTTCCGTGTTTACTTATATGTTGCACCTTATCAGTTATGGTAAGACATGATTGGATTTTTTTTGATGTTGTTCTAAACTAAATATACATTGATGTTGCTGCTGTTAGTTTGATTATTGCTGCTCATGTTTCATGAAATGCTCTGTTGCTGCTTGTGTTTCATGGGAATACATTTTTTTTTATTGTTTTCACGACTCATTTGCTGTTTGTTTACATGAATTGAAGTCACATTATTGATTGTTGATATCAAGGTGTATTTGGATTTTGTATCGATTATGTCACGGTATTGTTGTTTCTTTTGTTTGTAACGAACTTTTGTAAATATGCTATTGTTTCTGTTATGATATTACGCAGTTCTCGCTGCCGTCACGGTTTGTTTCTACTTGAATCTCAGTTTGGTAAATTTTCAAACCGAATTCTGTGTGTTGCAAACTGTTGTTCTCACCAAGTTTTTTTTTTTTTTTTTGTGAGTTAACTTCATGGATATGTTATGGTTTCTTGTTGCTGGAATTTTGACACTGTGGAAGTTATGAAAAACATTTGTGAGAACGAGGTGATAATGATTATTATTTTTTTTTAGCAATATGAACAAATCTAAAAATAATAGTCGAATAAGTCATTTGCAGTGCCTTATACTAAAATCCAAAATTATCAAAAATAAGGAAAGTTACAGTGGTTTGTGAATTGGTATAACAACTTTAGTGTGGAAATGTTGATGCACTGGAAATAGTAGCTAAGGTTGTTAATTTGTTTTAAGTTGGATTTGCCGTGAAAGTATTCTACTGGTGTTAGATATTTATCTAATAATTGCTACTTCTTGTTCTTTTTTCTTTTCTTTGTTTTAATTAATTAGTTGATTGTTATGTAATATTTATTTGATTATGGGATAAAATTGAAATATAATATTTTGTGGTTTCCACATATTTAGATCATTGAATCATGATAGTTTAGAATTTTTCTTTTTAAGCTTTGTGTGATTAATTAGTTAGTGAAGTTTTTGATTGATTGGTTTTTAGATTAATTGAATATTTAATTTGACTAATTGATAAAGTTCAAATTGTTAAATTCTTGAGCTTTTAATTTATGAAGTGGTTCTTTGCTGCATTTCCAATTGTTTTTCAAGAACAACACTAAACCTTCTTCTAATTATTAATCCTAATCAAATATTTTTTTTTACTTAATTAAATATCGAAATTAGTGGGCTCTTGGGGTCTTGCATCCCTGAGATCCTTGAACAATCGCTCTCGAGGCGCACGCCCTTGAGTTGTGGTTGTCTCGTCTTTCGGTTTTCAAATCATATTTTTTTCACTTAATTAAAACTTCTAAAAGATATTTTTAAAATAATTTTATATAATTAGATATTTTTATAAGAAATTCTAATTATTCCTTCTTTTAAAGATATATTTCAAAATTATTACCAAATTAATATTTTAAATATTAAACTTTTCGAAAATTATACTTTATTTAAAACTTATTTTTTTAAGATATTAAACTTCTTTTTTTTCAAAACAATTAATTATAATTAGCTTTTCTTAAAATCTTTTTTTATAAGCAATTGATTAATTTATTTTATATGAAAATTAAAACTATTTTCTTGATTAAATTAAACTATTTTTCTTAATCAAATTTCAAAACAATTAAATTCTTGGATCTCGCCTTCCTTGAATTTTTAAGCGACCGCTCTCGAGGTGCACACCTTGAGTTGTGATCCTTCCGATCTTATTTTCTAAAATACCTCCTTTAATTATTTGGACAAGTATTTACTGTCCAACAAATATATTTTATAATTAATGGAATGAAAAAAGTATCGTTGGGATCTAGCATTTCAACGAT